TATATTAAAACTAAATAAACAGTGTCTACTTTCTAGTTTTTTGTTTTTAAACATCTAAATTGCATTGATAAAATGTGAAACGATCCAACAATTAATGTCTTACTTTCTGTTTTTTTTAATCGTCTAGATTTATGAATTACTATTTTTTTGTTTAAAAAGCATTTTTTTTACTTCTTAAGAAGCTTATTGTATATATATAAAAAATATTTCACCAGTTTAGTTATCTCGATAAATCTATAAATTGTGACTCATTATCTTTCTTTTTTTTTGTCCACTGTCACTCATTGTCTACTCACTTTTATTGGTTCTTAATTTAAATAAAAAAAAATTATATCACTTTTATTCAAACTGTATAAATGTTAATCGAGTGACTCTTAGAGAATTTTTATGTGAAGATGATATCGAATCACAATCATCGACTCCTCGAAAGAATTGTTTCAGATTTTGGACACGGGAAAGTCAAACAGAGGATATGGGAAGGACATAAGATATGGTATTTGGAACGTTTTGCACACTTGGACAAGTGTGGTTGTTGTTGATTCATCATATAAAGGGGACGAGGGTAAATGAACTTGAGAAAATGATGAAGACCTTCATGAACAGCAGTCTCGCGTGCGATATCTTGGGGTGGGTATCTTCTCGCCTTGGTCTTCATCTCGTTCCAACTTCGAAGCCACACTATCGTCTAATATGTTTTGTGATTGACGAGATTATATCAATTCCCTGCGGATTGTTTTCCCTCGCTGCAATGAGTTGGATGTTATCGGACGTGTTTGCCAAAGCAGTGGCAGCTCTCTTTGGGCTTACCATTGTGGTCAAGATGGTACTGTTGTACTTCGGTGGTATTGAATCTCTATAGAAAACTTAGGAGCCTCAATCTTACTTGATAACATCATTTTGTATTGGTTTAGACCACTTATAGCCTACATCATTCAAAATAATGAAATAAAAAATTAATGACCTAATAGGATTATGCTTGTTAAGGTATGATGCATTTAGGCTTGATCAACAATATTTAGCGGTTAGTCCACACCTCACAATCTCTCGAGAACATAGCATATATCGAAAGGCAAAGAAGACACAAATTTTACGTGTTCAAGTCTTGTACAAGATGATTCACGAGATCATGAACAATAGTCACATTCTGTTAAAAAGGAGTATAAGATCCAAAATTTCCAAACAAGAAAAGACATATCTCACGTCCACATATAGCTTGCAAAAATCTCCATTGTAACTGTCTCATTATTTCTTTGCATGCAATCATTGTTCTTGTTTGGAAGTTTTGGATTTTATACCCCTTTTTAACAGAATGTGACTTGATTATATTGCTCATGATCTCGTGAATCATCTTGTACGAGCCTGTAAAATCTGAGTTCTTTCTCTTTCGATATTTGCAATGTTCTCGAGAGATTGTGAGATGTTGGAGTAACTGGTAAATGTTGTTGATCAAGTCTAAACGCGACATACCTTAACAAAGATAACCCTAAGACCATCTCCAATGTATTTTTCTATTTTCTACTCTAAAATAAAGTAAAATATAGCAATAATCTAATTTATTTCTAATGTATTTCTCTATTATAGAGGAATGTTATTTTTTCTCTATTTTAGAGAAAATATAAATAAAACAAAAGAATCTCTATTTCTTTCTCTATATTTGGAGATAAAAATAGCAATATCTATTTTAAAGATAAAAATAGAGGTGGGTTGGAGGAAAAATAGAACAATGCTATATTTTGTTTTATTATAGAAGACGAAATAGAGGTGGGTTAAGTTCATAAATTTTTATTTCATTATAATCATTGTTTAGGATAAAATATTATTTATTATATGTTAAAAATAAATAAATAAACATTGTCTATTTTCTTGTTAAAAAAGCATTATTTACTTTTTATTATAAATAAGAAAATATTTTTACCAATTTAGTTATCTCTGTATACTGTGACTCATTGTCTTATTCTTTTTTCGTCGTCCACTCTGGTTCATTGTCTATTCACTTTTATTGATTTTTAATTTAAATACAGAATTTTGAATAACATATTTTTATTTTTCTCCAAAGACATGTTAGTTATAAATAACATTAGCTTTTCTTCAATATATTTGACTGACATGACAAAAAAAAATGTTAGT